TGAGGAGAGCCCAGTAGATATCTTGACTTACTGGATGTCATATATTTACTGTTGACTAATAATCAGGATTTCATTTATAGGTAATTAAGTTGCTGTAAGGTAAAGTACATTACTATTTAAACTGAATAAATATTTATATAAAACAATGACGAAAGTGTGAAAAAATATTGTATATTCCCTCAAATAATCATCACGAGTTAGCTTTATATTAGAGCAATCATATGTCGATCAAAAAACTAAAATTTGCAAAAAGCTAGCATTTCATGTATGTGATCCTAAGTACATTTTTTTTTAATTTTTAAAATTATCAACAAATTAAACTAGCAGCCCATAGGCCATTACAGTCACCTAGATTTGGAAGTTCTCGGGTTTTGATCATTTTAACCCTACCTAGAACTGGAACTGTAGTCTTATATATGGGGAAAAATATACAGTTTGGCAAGGACGATATAATCATTGTAATATTGATGCATCTTTCTACTAGAAATTCTAAGTAAAAGTTTACGCACATTGTATGATAAATTTTAATATATGACTAACCTGAAAATCGGACAACAATGTTTTCATATTTTTGGTAGTTGACTTAATTGCTTCTCATTATAATAATACAACTAATCAATTGGCTGCTAGATGTCAATAAGTAACGATGTACTATACTTTCAACTATGGTCATATTTTAGATCATGGTCAGTACAAAAGATGCAGTATATTTTCAAAATAAGACTAACATAGCTCTTCCTTCTGCCTGAACCATGAGGCTAAATGTTAGATGTTATGCCAACAATATGTCTGCTGAGTAAAGAATAGTTTCTGAGATGTAATAAATGTTAAGTATATATGACCAGGGTGACTGAGTTCCATTCTCGGGTCTGAAAGCTGAACCCATAAACCATGAATTTTACAATTTATCTTTGTAATAAAATAATCAGAATGCACATTATTTTACCTTTAGAAAATATGATTTTCAAATTTAATTCTCTTTACTCTTCGATACTATTACCAAAAGTTAAAATAAGTGTTGAAATTTGTTCAGCTGTTTCTGAACAGAAGCTGAAATGCTAAAAATTTAACGGAAATATTAACTCACGATAACAGAAAAAAAAACCGAGTAAAATATAACCTGTGTGTATCTGGTGACCCAAAATCTGAATCAATATGATCAATATAATATAGATCAACAGACTCAGGTGACCTAAAAAGCATTTTTTTTCTACAGAAATTGCCGACATTCATAATGCATAAATCAATCCCCCGAGAATATAAATAAAATATTTTCATGTGCTTGTTCAAACATAATCATATGCGTGTACTTGCCTCTCTTATTGCTTCAGGACTTTTGAAGACTTCCTGTAAAACATCTATTTAAAGGTCGGAAACTCTTGTCTAAGTTTTCCTTCTTCCTTTAATAAAATGATTTAATTCTCTCAGTAAACACGGAAATTAAATTGATTTTAAAAAAAAACGTGTGTTTACCTGATTTAATAGCTTTTTACTTTTGTACATGGTCGAAAATACATGTATAGTTCAAGTTTTTCTTGGGTAGGAGATAAAATAAAGAGACTCTAAAATTACACTGAAAATGAAAAGCCACCGATAGACCTTTAATCTAAAGCAAGAATTTAAATTGAATGATATAAAATCCTATCAAGGCCTAACCCAAGTAGTCAGAATCAAAAAATTTGTAAAAAAGTTATCCTTATAATGGAAAGATGAGCAACAAAAGTAATTTGCAATATTTTGCCATGAATCTTCTGAAAAATCCTGAAATGATCATCATATATGTAGGTCATTTATTTGTAAATATCATTGGTTTCAATCATAAGTAGGATATGGAAACCGGTTCTTCGGATGAGACTGTATAAACCGAGGTCCCGTGTGTGCAGAAGGTGCTGGCACGAAAATATCACTCACTGCTCAATGGCTCGATTTTTTATCCCTGACTTTGAATCTCGGCATAGGTTAAAATAAAAACCTCGTAAAGCTAATACATAAGGGTCAATTAAAGGTTTTCATACTTTCTGATATCAATTTCATGGCACAAACATATATTCGGTTTTTTTTGCCAATGACTTTGAACTTGCATGAATGGACTTGGATCAGGGTTTAAGACAAATGTCGTGGTTAGTCATTGACCTCTTGAGAATGTAAATCTAAAATTAAAGTTGTACAATCCTTCTAGCTCTTGATGTAGCTTTTTCATCTTGATTTTGTTTATCTCCACTGGTCAATATATTATTTGACAGAAAAGCTGAATTCTGATGGCCTGCAATTAAATTAGTAAAAATTGACCACGGGTAAATGACCTGAAAATATATGCACTTAAAAAAAAAATTTAATTCTGTCATCCTTGTATACCTGCAATTAATCATGAATGATATTAATCACGGTTTCTTGCTATCTCTATAGTACCAGGGACCAGATTCTACGATTTTATAAGAATTTCGTCAGTGACATATGAACGTTATATTATCAGTTTGTCCCCTCTGATTTCAGAAAGAGTGCCTATAATAAATTATTGCCACATTTTTGGAATCAAAATACAAAAGTAAACAAAATTGCTAAAGCATTTAGACTAGCAGATTTCTGTTCTGTGTAATTTATAGTTTGTTCGAATTAATGTAGTTACATGGCTAGAGTTTTTGTGATATTATTATTATTATTTTGCAACTTTGATTTAAACCTGAATATCAACAGAACAATTGGATATAGGAAAAAAACTGAAATGCTTTTATATAGTATTACCTTGTAACAAGCATTAACAACTTACCAGAATGATGTTCTCTTCGGAATAGATCTTGATACAATTAAGTCTTAGTAATGTACTATAGCAACTATCTTCAAATGAATTCATATATATAGAAGTCATTTCTGAAGGAAAAGTAATAATCTATATCGAAGATATGTTTAATCCTTAAAAAAAGTATTTTCGAGGATCGTACAATAAGTAATGCAACATACACTTTTCATTATACATGAATAATGTAGAAGAATTTAATTTAATTTTTTCAAGGTCGAAAAATTCTATTGAAGATATCCTTATCACTGAAAATGTTTTCCCTACTGTCTTTGCACAGAAATTCTCATGTAATGTAAGAATGGTCACTATACTGAGCTGAAAACTTTTTAAAGGAGAGGAAATTGAGGGCTTGTGTGAAAACTGTGCTTCATTATAATAATTGCAGAAGAATCCATTTGAAAGATACGATTTTGATATCTGATTAGACTAGTCTTTCACGCTTTACAATTTTCAGATAAATTAAGAAATTTTATTTAATACCAATAGGGCGTTTAGTAAGCACTTTTTAGATTAGCTGTTACCTTTAATCTGACACTAATCTGTTGGCTATACATGTTTGTTATATAGCTTTCGATGCATAGAATTCGAAGATAGTAAGCATACCTAGATGTACATGTATTATCCTTTCAAGTTATGTCTAAATATGGCATGTGGTTACTTAGAAATGAATCTGCTCCAAAGCATGTTAACCTCACCACTCATCCAGAAAACGTAGTCAAGAGCAGAATCCACAACAAGGCTGGCAGTGAGCATCTCTACATGAAATATCCATGTCAATTTGATCCATGTACATATGAGATGAATTAATCTAAGAAATGAGCACTTTATAAACATATGGGCAAATATATATCAAATTTATTTGTTAAATGGACCTGCTCTTACAGCTTTCGCATTGGATGCTGACACTGATATTAAAAAACGGGGATCCAGAATTAAGTCACCTCTTTGTTGACATAGAAAAACAAAACAATAAAAGTTATACTAGTGAAGAAAATTAGTATGCAGACATTCTTATATCCAAGGGAAGATATCCAATGAATAGGAAGAACATGGGGGAGGGGGATGGGTTATTAATCTGAGGAGCAAGAAAAGACAAACTTTATGTTAAGTTTTCACGATCAAAATTTTAAAAATATTTTTCTACATTGTTATATAAATTTGACACCTTTTTGTGACCCAATCCTATATTAAAAAAATAAATACACTGTATATAAATGAATAAATAAATCGCAAAATTTATATACGCAGAGGTCCTAGATTATCATTATGACTAATTGTAGTCCTGATATTTATTTGAAGATTTCCTCGTGAATGTACGTTTAGTACTATGTAAAGTTTTTGCTTGATATCAAAGACCGTACCCTTACCCTAGAAACCATGATTTGAACATATATTCAATGCATATTTTTCTCTGTAAAATTGTGAACAAGGGGCCTTTAAAACTTTTTTGCTTGGAAACCATTTAGAATATCAGCTGGAAAACGTTGATTACATTTCTATTAAAAGTGACTTCATTTTTCACTAAATCACTGCATTATGATGTCAAGAATTTTGAAGTTCCAATTTCGAAAAAAAAATTCTAGCATCGTTTCAATCCAAATTTAACCGCTAAAATTCGATAAATCTGTAATTTTATAAAGAATGGGATCAGAAGTTCTGTTCACATTTAGTTTCTCAGCTGTATGAAGTCAAATACAAATCATGATATTTGGTTTGGAAAAGTTAAAAATTGTAATGTTTCTGTAGAAGGCAGGTATGTTAAATTGCTAAAGAACAGCTACATGGTAGGTCTCGATATATATATATATATATATATATATATATATATATATATATATATATATATATATATATATATATATTTTAAATTAGAAACAATAACATAATTATTTTTTTCCTTTGACTTATAAGACTTGAGTTTTGTATGTTTACCTACTGAACTAGGAAACAATATTCGTATGGAGCTAAAAATATTTTAAGAAGTAAAAAAAATGGATACATTAAAGATTTAAAAAAAAAAAATCAACACTATAGAGATGATAATCTCTTCTACAAACATGAAAGCGGTATTCAAAAGAGTGTTCCTTGCTCAGAAAATCTACTTGGCATTCAAAAAAGATTATTAATGGCTCAAAAAAATAACATCCATTGCAAACCACATTATAAAAGAAGTTGATGCAAAAAAAACAAACCAAAACCAAACAACAAGAAGAACAATTGCAATTTTATAGTAATTTACTGATTACTTTGCATCATGTAAAAAAAAATTAAAACATTTTAAAAGGCATTTTAAAAATAAGAAGTTTATGAAACACATTGCCCCCACCCCTTTTCCTACATTTCCCTGCATGAAACAATATAAAGCAAACGAAAACTGTCTTCTAAAGAATTTTTTCAGATGTTAAAATGCATTTGCAATATAAACACATAGTGTATATATAGACTGTATTCACAAAATAAACACACAGTGTACATATACACTGTATTTGCAATATAAACACACAGTGTATATATATAATGTACTTTCCATTTGGATATCATCTTGATCCAATATTCCATAACTCTACAACATTATGTTTGTAAATCTTAACAATATGAAATATAATGTACATATAGCATTCAGCTGTAGAAGTTTTAATCCACAGTCAGTTAAGGCTTAGACTCTCTTTGATATAATAACAACATACAAATGGGCCATGTGCTACGTCTTCTGTTCAGAGTTGTCTTTCTTGTTGAATCGTAATGATGAATTATATCCTTCACGGTTTCTTGCTATCTCTATTGCCAGGAACTGGAGCCGAACCACTGAAATTTCAATCAATATTTGTTAAATGTACTAGTTTTTATTGGTTTTTCATTATCATTTTCTAATCAATGGCAATTTTTAAAGATATTTTTTTATGCTAGATATAGTTAATTCCGTTCTAATTATTAAAAGTGTACTTATAATAAAACTATAAAATCCAGCCTGCAAGACCATAAACCATGAATAAGGCAAGTCAAAATTTACATTCTAAGTACAGTTTCTTGGTTGTTATTTTAAATAAAATTATGGTAAAAAATTGCAAAAATAGCAAGTTAATATAATATTCAAACATAAACATGTCATGATGAGATGGAATTTCGTTTTGATTTCAAAATTATTCAGAAAGATACGATAATTTGAAATTATGACTAACTAGTAAGTCTTTTCCTACGTTTTGAGAAATTTTTGGGTAAATGAAACATCTAAGCACAAAAAAAAAGAAAATCAAAGATTACAAAATTCACCTCGACAAATGTTACGTATAAGTAATGCAAATCTCACAACAATTTTTTTCTAGTTAATACGCATATCAATATCCATGCAAGTTTGCAAGTTTAGTTTCAGTAAAACTAATAGTTACTTGGGAATGTACCTGTCCCAAAAACTTAAGTTTGGTCCGATAGAGCTAAAAGTCACTTATCTGGAAATGTAGGTCAGATCCAGCATCCAAAGCAGATCAAGTAGTGTACATCCCTTTGTGAACCATCCCTGCAAGTTTGGTATAAGGCTTATGGTTACAGGGGCTTGCTCCAAAAACTTTAACTTGGTCACTCATTTAGAAAATGTAAGACAGGTCCAGCATCTGAAGCGAGTCTGGCAACGTCCATTCATAGACGCACCATCATTGCCAGGTAAGGCATATAGTTTTCTCGGAAATGGACTTGTTGTAAAAACTTTACATGTTCACTAATTAGAAAATGTAGGTCAGGTCCAGCATCTGAAGAATGTCTAGCATTTTTCATCGCAAAATATATCATCCATGTAAGTTTTGTTCAGGTAGGCTAATGGGAGAGGATTTGCTCCTAAAGCTTTAATTGGGACGCGAATGCGGGGATATCATAGCATAAACTCATCTCGATGTCGTCGATGTGAGCTTAAAAAAATGTGTGCAAAGTTTAGAATATTATAAATACAATTTAAACATATAGGATATTTCCAGATTATTTTGTTGTTGTTTTTTCATTAATTTGGAATGATAATCAATATTACATCTTCTGCTCAGTCGGTAGAGCGGTCGCTCGGAAGGTTGGGTATTCGAATCACGGCCGCGACTGACCTAGGTCGATACAAGGTTAGCTTTTTAAAATAAAAGCTGAGAGTCAGCCACTGGAATACAGAAAGTTTCTTTCTTGTTTTGTGATGGTATATGATTTATTTTATCCATCATGTTGTGTTCATTAAAAGCCATTGCATGTCATCTAAGTTAAAATTCACCCAGTCGTTTTCTTATTTGTAACATAATGCTGTACATAATAAATACTAAAGCATAGAATAAATTTTAGTTAGACTACATCGTGATCATTATGATGACCTCCAATTAATTTCTCTTGGGCGCGGACATCAGATAAAGTTCGTCTCAGAAATGAACAAAGCCACTATGCTCAAAATCGTTGAACGTTGACGAATGTATACATTTTCATTTTTACTGTTTTAAGATTCTATAAATGATATAGATTATGATGCTTAAAAGGAATGTAGACTTTGGGTTAGATTGTGTTAATTATTATTAGATAAAAGTTTTTAATCGTGCAGGTTCGAGGCAATGCATGATTGGGGAAGGGGGAGGGGTGCATACGGTATATATATTTAATTCAATTTTTAAATTTAAGCATCCATTTTAGTGTTATTAGGAAAGAAGAGAATTGCTTCCAAAATAAAGTAAATGGAAATTCAAAATATTTTATACATGCAGTACGTATACCCTAAAATGATACTGGATTCCATCTCGCTCACTCTCTCTAATGGGGGGGGGGGGGTCTATAAATCCGCGCAGTTTCTCTCAACTATCGCAGTTCTACTGTGGTCAGTTTTTCACCTGTGGGCGCGGTTCACGTGCACAAGCGGCACTTAAACGTCTATCTTCGTGTAAATTATAAGAATTTACACATCTTAAGTGATCTTCTGACGTTTTCATAACTTTCGTCACTAAAGTGAAAAAAAGATTCTGTTTTTCACTGTTTCTGGGACCTTTGTGGCAAGTGGATTATTGTGTGAATTCCGACCAGTACGTGTCTTATGCAAGGTATTGATCGAGGGAGTCTTGCATCAGGCATTCAGAGGAATACACACACATCCGTGAATTTGCAACGGCGATTGAGGGTATATATATCAAGTGTTAAATGTGCTCAGAATATAAACTTCTCATCTTCTATAAGAAGCACTGAAATATTTTCATAGTATCATATTTCCCACTTAGAACAATCTATTTTTCAATTTTTCGTCGAGAATGACTAAGAACAATGCAGTCTATAAATAGATCGAAGTCGCGTCTTTTGTGAAGAATCACGCCCTCTGGTTGGAGCAAATAGCACAAGTTTCTTTAGAACAAGTCGTGTATATCTTTTTCCCAGAATTCCAAATTACGCAAGCGCACTTGCAGTTTCATCCCACCGTAACTAGTCAGCCCGTGGGCTGACTAAAAAAAAATAGGTAGCAACTGTTCCTTCGTCAAGCGCTCGGCACTTTGAAGTGAAAATTGCGGGTCCTTCGGATGAGACTTTAAAAACTGAGGTCCTGTGTCACAGTAGGCGTTGGCATGATAAAGAACCCTCACTGCTAAATAGCCCTGAGTGCCAAGTAAAGGTCTAAATTTGAAGCCCTTCACCGGTATATGGCGACGTCTCTTTATGAGTGAAAAACTCTTGAACTGGACGTACTCGTAAAACAACATACAATCAATCAATCAACAATATCTTGTGATACATCTTTTTTATTTAATACCTGAAATGCTACAGACATATTGCATACGTTTACAGAGAGAACTTGAAATATTATTCAAGGTATATATATTTTATTAAGGTTTACCTTGTAACAAGCAACAAAAACTTACCCAGAATGCTGTTCTCTTCCGTATAGTCCTTAGTACAATCTAACCTTAGTAATGTACCATAGTTAAAATCTTCTACTTTCTTTTCAAAAGAATTGATAAATGGCCGCCATTTCTAAAGTAAACAAAAGTAATTATCTTTTATGAAAATATGATCATCCCCCAAAATTATAAAAAGTTCTTGCTTGGGAAGGGAATGAGGCATCATTCCATGGGGCCATCATATCATCTACCAAAAGTTATGGGTTTTAGCATGAAATATTATGCTGTCTTTCTTATTCAGCTACGATGAGGAAATAAACAAGATTGTTTACATCAATCGGGCTTATGCAATGAAATGATGTAAACACCCATAATTCAATTTTTGTAATATAGAGGTAGATTACTCTTTCCTTTTCATAGATTTAAAAAAAAAAAAAATCATGTTTCCTGAAATTGGCATTGCCATCGATGGTTGTATTTCACCAATCACCAAGCTTTTCTCATACAATGTGTTTATAGCTTATTATTCCCCCGTAATCGAAGATTCGAGGGTATAAAATTTTTGTCCTGTCCGTCCTTCTGTCTGTCTAGCTGTTTGTCCTCAAAAACTTTAAGCTTGCCTATAACTTTTGATTGGTTGAGCTATGGCTTTCATATTTCACATGTGTATTCCTTGTGACAAGACCTTTTATTGGGTGCCAACATATTCGACTTCTTGACCTTAGAGTTTGACCCACTTCTGCAAAGATTTATCAAACTTTATTTTTTAAACAAACGTTAGCGCCCTTTTACTTTGAAAATTTCTAATAATTCATTTTTTTTACAGTGCTCTACTTTTTAAGAGGAGTTGATATTTTGGCTTGTTTCTTTAAAATGATGACTTATGTACAAATTAAACTTTTTTTTAATTTGATCGACCAATTTTTATGAAAGTTGTTGCCCTAAGTACATAGACTGTGAAAATTTTTAAGCTCTTTGTGTTTCATAGACTATTATTCCCCCGAAATCAAAGATACGAGGGTATAAACTTTTTGCCCTGTCCGTCCGTCTGTCTGTCTAGCTGATTGTCGTCAAAAACTTTAAACTTGCCTATAACTTTTGATTGGTTGGAGCTTTGTCTTTCATATTTCACATGCATATTTCTTGTGACTAGACCTTTTATTGGGTGCCAACATATTTGACCTCTTCACCTTGACCCTAGAGTTTGAACAACTTCTGCAAAGATTTATCAAACTTTTTTAAACAAAAGTTAGTTCCCTTTCACTTTGAAAATTAATAATAATTTAGTTTTCTTTTGACCATGTTTGACTGTGCTGTACTTTTTAAGAGGGGCTGATATTTTGGCTTGTTTCTTTAAAATGATGACTTAAGAACAAATTAAACTTTTTTTTAATTTGATCGACCTATTTTTCTGAAAGTTGTAGCTTTCAGTACTGAGACTGAGAAAATTTCTAATTATTCAATTTTTGGAACTTTTTCATTGATTTAATTGCTTGTAAGTGATCAACACTTCACTCAGCTTAAGTCTATTGCTGCTTACACAATTAACCTACCTGGTATTTTAATAGAAAACAAAAGCAGCCTCTGTATGGCATTTTATCTTAGTGTCATTTTCACCTATTGTTATTTTCACACTCTTGGACTTTCAATTATATCCTCGGAGGTCCATGAGTCGTTATCCTAATCTGATTGTGTCCGTTTTGTAAATAAATTTGAAATACTGTTTCATTTCGTAAGTCATTTCTTAATTATAAATATTTTTTCTTTCGATTGTTCTGATAGTTTAGAAAAATCATGCCTTTATTGATTGTTTACATCTCGTTCAAAGTACCGATGTTTACCCGGCGACATTTTGAAACACGGGTCCTAGGATCGTAACCTTAGCGGATATTACCTAATACAGGCCAAAAATTCCAATTTGGATACGTGACTTCTGTTGAGATAATGTAAACAATGCACACAGTAGCACCAATACACTTGAGATAGGTCGTAAGACTTTCGTTTCAAACGTATTCGGTAATAGCGGATTTGTGCTAAGTGAGGTTAAATTTTGTTTCAGACTACATTTTTTACATGTTTTGACCTTATTATCGTCTGCAGTTGTAAAATATAACAAAATCAATCCAAATTATATCTTTCTAAAGATGTTGGGTGCAGCAGCGGACACAATTTTTAAAAATACTCGACAAAAATAAAAAGGGCACGTAAAAAGGACCGTAACGGATTTAGGGTCTAGCGGGGGCATTTGTGTCACACTGACACACCTAGTTTTGTGATGTAAAATATAAATTACATGTACATACTTTCAGATGTATCATGGTTGACAAATTATTGATAAGGAGAATTGACTCAGCAAAGGGAGGGATGTGGTAGATCCAAGAAACTTAAACTTCTTTTTTCTGCACTCTAGTCTTACAATCTCAAAATGGAGATATTCAAACCTTCTTTGATCTCTAAATGTTTCTTTTGTTTCTTTGACATACAAGCTACTAGATGATTAATTTCCTTTTTTTATTACATTTTTAAACACACAATAGAAATAAAGATAAATACTATGTTTCCAAAATATCACCAGGTTTTACAATTCCTCAATATACGTTTACAATACCCTTTCTCTTACCATGAAAACTGCATATGTCATAGCGAAGTGGAAGGTATTGTCTTTTGATAAAAAAAAAAAAATAACAATGAATTATATATATATTTCATCTATATTTTATTTATGTAATATTTTTATAATTTTTTCACAAAATATTCTCAGTTACTTATAAGAACACTTTACATGAAAAACGCATTTACAAATTCATATATAAAAGCAGCTGGAACAGGATTTTCTTAAGATTAGGATGTGTTGAATTTGAGAATGGGGGTTTAATTAATATTTTCCTGCTATAATTTAAAAAAAAGATTTTTTGCAAACTCTAAGATTCTAAAATCTATTCTAAAATCTAAGACAAATATACATAAAAAAAATTCTTAACTGCCATTTCACTTAATCTCCTCCAGAAAGTTCTGGGAATTCTACATTGAATATCACTGCAGTACAATGTTGGAAAATACATGTATTGTCAGTTGTAAATAAAATCTACAGGAAGTATCTAACAAAGTTTATAACAGAAATTTCTGAACAATAATACACACAGGTAATCTATTTTCTTTTATATATGTTAGTAAGAATTCGTTGATACATGTAGCATGTGAACACTCCATATATCAGATTTATACATATAGATTATGATTTGTCTCATGCTTTATGGCACCTGTTATGATTTAATATGAATGAAATTAATCATAATTCAAGTATATTACATTGTGTACTGAAAAACTTTGACAAGTCCTTCCCAGTATCCCACCCACAGTGTGGATTTGTACAGTGATAATCTGAATGGATGGTTCACTTCATTCTCTGTCAATAAGAACTTCAGAAACTCCCCATCAGGACTCAGCAGATGGATCTGTTTGTTTTTTAAGTCAGTAAGAAGGATGTTACAGAGAGAGTCACACACTACATCAGATGGTTTAAATTCCACTGTCAAGTTCTGTCCTTGATAGACAGACTTAACGTGACCAGAGGGAGACATAATCATTAGTTCACCTGAAGTGCCACTTGTACGGTTCACAACACAGATATCACTGTTACTGTTCTGTTTGACTCTGACTGGATACATAAACAGTCTGGTCTGACCGTCCTCCTGGTACTCATACTCATGGATGACATCACCTGTAACTGTGATGTGTCTCACCAGACATCTGCTGTGTGACTCTAACTTGTAAAGATCTGATTCCTTGTCTCTCAAGCTGACCAGTAGTCCACCGTCTGCTGTCTGACAGATTCCTAGTGGTCCCTGTGGATCTGCACTGATGACTGTAGAAACAGATCCTGATGGTGACAGACAGCTGATGGAATTGTTACTATAATCAGTGAAATAAACATCACTGTTATCAGTCACATATCATTAGCACCAATATTATATTTATGTTTTATTTCACCTTCTTTGTTTACTTGTTCAATGTGAGGTGTCTTCTTAATACATGTATCTTCTATGTAACAATGATCTTCACACAATGCCTCCAATAAAACCATTAGGTCATCTCCATATTTAAATGAGCTTGTTTCAGTCAAGCTAATGTCATTTAAATCCAGAGTTTTTCCAGTCATATTTTCCATCACCTCAACACTGATTTTTCCTTTACTGTATCTCAATGAATGTATATAGTCTGTTATATCAACATCCTGGCCAGGCAACATTTTTGACAGTTCTCTGTGGTTGTCAATCAAGCTGTGATCTGACATGACACTCTTGTTATCCTCCATAAACTTTACCATCTGTTCAATTTCTTTCTTCTTTTTGTTTAGCTCTGATTTCACACCATTCAACTTTCTATTTTTTTCATCCAAATGGTCCATGAACCTTTTTTCAGTATGTTCTCTGATTTCTGTCAGCTTGGTCATTATCTCATCATATTGTTTCTGAAGCTTTTTAATCTCAGAGACACACATTTCTTTATTTTCTAGGATCTGTTTAGACATCTTCTCCATCTTCTCATCAATCCCAGGCAGACCCTCTTCCTTGATCTTCTTCAGAAATTTAAGAAGACCTCTCCTCCTTTGGGTGGCTGCTGTGGGTAAAGTGTTCCAGTCGTGATCTCTATGATCTGTTTTGGCACACTTATTACAAATGAATTCATCACAGTCCTCACATATCACATCAATAGGTAAATCATGGGTTTTACACATTTCAATATGCTCTTGAGGAGAGCCCAGCGGATATTCAGGTTTACTGGCTGCCATGTTTGTTGAATGCCTCCTATCTATGACCTAGATTTGACGTAAAGGTAAAGGGAGCTATGCACTGTGAAGTGATTTGGACTTTAAACTGGTATCATATTACATGATATGCAAAGTGAACAAACAGGTGTACACTAACAAATCATAATATAAGGAGGTAGCTTGAAATTGGGTGTATTCATGTGTCGTTAAATTTAATTTTGAAAATATCAAGCATTTCATGCATTAGTTCTGAGGTATGCATTTTTGTGAGCCAAAGGGTTTTTGGTCCCCTTTTAAAATTTTTGGCAGATAATGCCACTAAACTGTCTACTTCCTAGTAAAACCCTAGCTTAGAAGCAATGAGAAGAACATTATGTCATTTTTTTTTTAAATAAAAGAGGCCCATGGGCCACAATGCTCATCTGAGTCAATATGACCCTGCTGTTCTTCATCAGCAGATTTTTTCTCCTATAACATATTCCTATGTATCCTATTGCTAAGAAATAAGAGGCCCATGGGTCACAATGCTTGCCCAAGTCAAAAATGCCCTTCTGTTCTTCATCAGCAGATTTTCCCCTAATTATCTTTCTTAAAACTTAGATTACATACAGTGATCCCATCCTACCCGGAGGGTGAGTTTTGGCAGGTGTCAAGATTTGAACAAACTTGAACCAGATTATATATAGTCCTAAGCCTAGTAGTATACAAGAGATGATGTGAACACAATTTGAGCATGTAAAGTAAAAGAATTCTAAAAAGAGGTAAAGGTGACCAAGTTTGGGGTTGCAACAAACCTTCACTCCAAAGATGTTGACTCCTATATGCATTAACTCTCAAATTTAACAAGAGGTCCATAGACCACATTGCTGACCTTAGCTCTTTGTTAAGGAAATAGAAAAGGTTAAATTTTAATAAACAAATCCCAACCTACCACCAGAGGGGGGTTTAGGGGAGGGAAACTGTATACAGGGTTAATTTTTGCACTTTCAAAATTGCAAACGATTTGGCCCAATTTTAAATTTGCCGAGTAACAATTCTGTTTAATAAATTATACTGAGTTCTTTGAAATCACCCCGTTTTAAATTTGCCCACCTGTGAGTAGGGCGAAAGGGGAGAAAAAAAACCAGGGGCGAAAATGTCCCTGTATTTAGTAGGCATAGCAATCAAATGCAGAATTGCTCATAATTTACCGCAAGACGTTCCAACTGATTAATTGGTTAATCGTATCAAAAATTCATATTTCATCATTGTAAGCCCTATTCTATAAACAGGACTATAAAGATGTTACATGTAGTAATATTATGTATATATTTGATCAGAACAATATCTATTTTTTATTTCAATTTTAATAGGGAAAAATGAGACACCCATGAAACATGCCTGAAGTATCAGATACATTAAAAAAATTTGTCAGAAGACAAGTACATTCTGCATTGTCACCATAATCAAAACTCAGTCCGAGCTATTGCTTAATTTACAATGTTTGTAATAATATAATTTGATAGGTAACTGCAAAGGAAAGCAGTGGTTAGGTACACATTATAATCAGTTCACAGTACTCAATAATCATTTAATTACAATCATATTAAAAAAAAACACAGGATAGACTGGATAACAGCGTGTTTAAACAACAATTAACATCTCGAAAACTCACTAATTACCCCCGCAATGTCAATCTGGAAAGCCTTAGTTATCTCCAAATTAGCTTAATTAAATAGACAATTATAAATGCTAACATTTCAGATATTTTTATTTACAAGTTTTAAATGAATTCTCAAGAAATTGTGTTCAAATTTACACATATATTAATTTTTTTTGACTGACCGATTACTGATTTTCTAACTGATTACCATCGTTCCAACCTAGTAACCAGTTAACCGATTACATTTTGCCATCCCTAGTATTTAGTAATTTGAACAAACTAGAATTATCACAAATTAAAAATGCTTTCATATTTCTTAGACTATTCATGGCCTTAGAAGATCTCTATGTGGATGCTGATCTATTGTGGCCCCATCCTACCCCCCTGGGGACATGATTTGAACAAACTTGAATCTACACTTCCTGAGAATGCTTCTGTATTAATATGACTAATCATGGCTTGTTGTTCTTGAGAAGAATTTTAAAGATATTTCCATTATATTTCTATGTACAAATTTGATGCCCTGTTGAGGCCATGCCCTACCCCCAGGGGACATGATTTGAACAAACTTTAATCTAAACTGCCTGAGGATGTTTCCATATTTTTATGACTAATAATGGCTTTGCTGTTCTTGAGGGGAAAACTTAGAGATACTATCATTATGTTCCTATGTATAACTTTGATCCCTTGTTTTGGCCCCACCCTACACCTGCGGGACATTGTGAATGTGAGGAATCTTTGAAATTCACACCCCAAACTTAGTATCAAAGACTAAGAATCTCACCTTGAGGAATAATATCATCCGTAAGTAAGGCAAATATCTCAATAATTTTTTTTTCCTGGCTAGTGTGCATCTTAAGATATATCCAAGCAAGTTTGATCTTTGAAGGACTTAAATTGATATATTTATTTGGGAATGGACCTCAAAAAACTTAAATTATAGTAACCTGAAAATGCATATCTGCAGCAAGTCTGACAGTGTTATCCCTAGATGAATCATCCATGCAAGTTTGGTCCAGATAGTCTTATAGTTACTTTGTAAAGGGCCTGCTCTAAAAACTTAAACATGGTCAATTGTCCAGAAAATGTAGGTCAGATCCAGTATCTAAGACAACTTGTAGTCTGTAAATGCATCATCCATGCAAGTTTGGTCTATGTAAGACTTCATAATTATTTGGGAATGGACTTGCTCCAGAATCTCTAACCTGGTCACTCACCCAAAAAATGTACCGTATATACTCGCATATAAGTCGGTCCGTCTATACGTCGGTTGTATTTTTTGTGGTTATTTTGAAGGGATTTGCAATTGACCTGCTTATAAGTTGGTAAACCTTTTTTCCAGAATTGGTTGACAATTTAAAATCAATTCTCTAATGTTTTAACCTGGTTTCAATCAATATTTTTAAAAAATAATGTCGATATTTAATTTTAAATCATTAACAAAAATAAGTAAAACACACTTAAGATAAAATAAAATTATAATATAATACTTGCATACTTTATGCATAATCTTAGAATACATAAATGATATAATATAAAAAGGATTGTTATAAAATACAACCTTTCAACGTCCAGAAAAATACCAATTTATCTATGACCCGCCTATAAGTTGGACACAGAGTTTAAGACCAAAATTTAACTCCCAAAAACCGACTTATAGGCGAGTATATATGGTAGGTTAGATCCAGCAGCAGAAACAAGTCTGGTGGTGTCAACCCCTAGATGCAAAATCCCTATAAGTTTGGTCCAGCTAGGGCTTATACCCCTAATTACTTGGGAATGGACTTGCTCCAAAAACTTTTAATGGGATGAAGATGGTATAGTATAAGCTCATCTCGACTTCATCAAGATGAGCAAAAAACTAAGCTGGGGCAAATAATGTTTATTGTGAAGTACAAAACTTTTTAATTTTGTTATAAAGATTAGCCTGTACATTTTAACATTGCCAAGTACTTGCCTCTTTTGCCTCTGGACTCTTGAGGTCTTCCTCTTGTATAACATCTATTTTAAGGTCAGGAAACTCTTTTCTAAACTCTGTATAAATCTCATCATCTATCTGTGTTAACTTCAGGGCTGTGGGATCGACAGAGCTTATAAGCTGTAATAGTGGACAGAAGTTACAATACAAATCCAACATATCCATAATTTACTAGCAAAAATGATTTTATTACAGAACTCTTTTTTTTTTTTTGGAATATGAATTAATATTCTCTAAGTAATTACTTAAACTGAATGCTGGCTGTCAAAGAGCTGTGTACATTTAGCTAATTCTGATGATTTTTTCCAGTTTTGTGGTGAGAAAAAATGATTCACATTTTTTCTCTGTTTGTGTTTTTGTTTTGTGTTGTTTTCCTCTTGTTTTTTTTTTTTTTTGGGGGGGGGGGGGGTGTCAAAATCAAAATACACTGTAAAGGTAATCATATCTGAACTCCATCATAGAACTTTAAATCTTGAGCAGAATTTATATTATAATAATTTGGATGAAGCCTTGATGGGATTTATACATAGCATACAGTATGTTATGTATAAATCCTATCAAGGGTTCTCCCAAAATACTTCCAGTACGTTACAAAGCAAAAATGACCTTGACCTTTGACAAAGGTCACAAAACAATATGTGTCAAAAGCAAAAGTTGTGTAAAATTGTCCACATAAGGTAAAGATTAGGAACACAAGAGCTTAATGTTTAGCCAGGAATCCTGTGAATGACCCTGATATGAAAATTAATTCAGGTCACATACAAGACCTATTATCAATCAGAATTACTGTGTACCTTTGTGTCAGGTAAAACTTCCAATGGTCAACCTTGATCAAATTCACATGACACATCCTCATTTCAAAAGCAAACTTAATGTCAAGTATAAAGCTTCAAATGTTTTTACATTAAAAATCTAGGGTCCTCTCAAGCATTGAATATTTACAAAAACCTTTTTAACTTAGCAAATGACCTTGACTAAGATCAAGATGTCCCCATAGGTAATCAATATACCTTTGTATTAAGTACGAGTTTTCAGTACTTCCAAAAGTATGGCCTAGACACCAATCTAATCTATTTTTCTGCCATTAGCATGATTAACTTTGAACTTGCACTGGGTCAGGGTTTTAAAAAAACCCACATATTTCTAATAAACAGGGTGTCATACAAGACTAAAAGCTATGACAGACACAATTGTTTTCGTCTGTCAATGTGACCTTGAACTTGCCAGGACCTTGAACTTGCTTGAATGAGATCAGCCATGACCACATTTTTTGAGCTTTCACAAACTCATAGTATCCAATACTGTTCTACTACAAACACAGACAGCATTGGTACAGACATGTTATTAAGACAAGGTAATTTCTACAGCCATGTACCTCTAATTTTATTTTACTGAGGGTAATGAATATGATTATGAAATCAAACCTTGATTGTTCCTTCAAGAAACATAAAACATGAGAAAAATACTTCTTTTACTTTTTATCAATTTTGAATAACATCAATAATTTTCCATACTTACATTGAAATATGTTTCGGCATGGTGGTATGACTTCATAGCCCATTTCAATTCCAGATCTGGCTGTAAGAAAAAAAACAGAAAACTAAGAGATTACACAAGAACTTTTTATTGTACACCAGGTAATGTACTGTTAACCACTACTTTTTCTCTTGACTTAAGTTTTGTGAGATATTAACATTGCATTTATTCACATGAGGTCATTTTCAAACACCATCCATAAGAATTGATTACAACCAATAACCACTAGGGGTCTATGGCCAAATTGCTCACCTGAGTAACAATGGCCCTGCTGTTCTTTTGAAGATTTTCAGTTTTTTTTTCTTTATTCCCATGAAAAATTTTGTCCCCACATTATGACCCCATCCTAGCTAAAATGGGCCTTAACTTAGCCAAACTTGAATCCACATAAACATGGGGATGTTTCATTATCAATATAACTACCCTCATTCTGTTTCAAGATCATCATGACATTACACCAGGGCTCTCACACCAGTTTTTGGGACTGGGGCCAGGGCCGTGAAAATTGGGAAAATGGGTGATCTTTTGAGGAAATTTGGGAAAATCATAACTAGACATTATACATTAAATTCATTATATATTGAGTTTCTGGTGGTTGTTATCAACTAAATTTCTGTTTTGTAATGTAGAGAAATATGAATAACAAGTTTAGGAACTACATATTTTACTAAATGTTCTTTAATATTTGGAGAAGTGACCAATTGGGAAAATTAAAACATTAAATTGGTGGGAAAAAAGGTACAGTAACCTTTTTTGAATGGGAATGGGGCCTTTAAATGGCCCCAATTATAGAGAATCGATAGCCCTGTACACACATGGCCTTGTTGTTCTAAAGATCTTTTTTTTCTGTATAGTTGTTTATGCATTATGAAAATTTTAACCCTGATTTTAGAAAGATGGACTCCAGACAATGGATGATCAGAAATGCTCACTTAAGCTTTCAGCTCAGTCCAGCTAACATCTAGGAAATAATTTTAAGAAGAAATACACATGATACAGAGCACAGAATTTTGTCTTACATTGTTGATGTACTTTGATGCATCATTGGTTAACTGTGATCCAACATTAGCCAGCTCACCAGCAGTCTGTAATCAAATAAAAAAAAACAGGATAATAACATTTATCAATTAAGGAATGAATAGCTACCTACATGTAAGTTATACTGTATAACCAGGGTTGGGGCAGTTTACCATGTTTTCGCTTTATAATTTAATTTTCTATCACTATGTGTAGAAAATAAGACAATTTTTCATTTAAAAATGACTTCAAATTTAACATATTTTAAATGTTACATCAAGAGGATTGATATGTTTCTGTCATTGTGACATAGGCAACATAGGTTATACCACTTATACGATATAAACTAATTTTTTTGTCCAATCAAAAGACACTTTTCAACCAAAATTAAATTATATACAAATATACAGTAAAAACAAAAATAAGCTTCAGGTACAGTCAAGGGCACACTTAGCTGCATACATAATTTGTCATACCCAGTTGGTATTTCATTACGTTGAAATTCTAGAAGACGAAATGTGACTAAATAAGTTAAAGGTTTGTATTCAGTTTAACATGTTTAAGCATGTTCACCATAAATGTGTTTCACTGTAAATAATAGCAGTAATATAGAATACACTGAAAGGAAAAAGAAATGCCGGGTAAACTTTTGAAGTGAATTACATGTACTGCTATTTTTTTCCAAATGAATTTTCCAGTATTACTTTCTAACATTTGAACTTGGTAAGAAACCATTCCAGTTCCTCAGTCTGACAATGGATAAAATGTTCTATTGTGAAAATATTAATAACAAACTGCACAGCAACATGTCGTTGCCCTTTTCTTCAATTAGGCAATTCAATTACTAGACCCAATGAAACTTCAGTCAGCCATACCATAACTGCAAGAAATTCATATTGACTGTATAAATATGGAAAAACAATGTGTATACTTTCAGTGCATCAAGTGGTACTACGAAATGCATCAACAAACTTGTCATCATCAATATGCACATGTTTTTGGCTTTTTGCAACTTTCTTATGTGACATAATACATTTCACGGTTGAGTAATTTTGAACACCGATTTCAGTGCACAATACCAAGATATACCTCGATCTGACCAGTTTTCATCATTTTTGGCCACGCATCAAAAATATTTCACATTTGTTAAGTAATCATGGTAATAATTAAACTAAGAATAAAACATTCAGTTATTTCTTTTTAACTCTTTTCAGTGAAAAGAATATAATAGAAATGTTCGTGTATCCTCTAACATTCATTAACAAATTATTTCTTCCAACAAGCAAATTCAGAGAATTGCAGCCCCCTACTCTCGGTGTCTTAGTGGTTGTGATGCAGTTATTTATGGTATATATTGTAACTGTCTTGTCTGTATATCCTGTCTTGCCCATCAAAAAAAAAGATTTAAATTCAATTTTTTTAATCAATAAAAGTAACAGCAAAGATTAAAGTTTTTTAAAACTGCATCAAGGTCATGATGTCAAAATTCATACAGGGGCGTAGCCAGAATAGAAATGATGTGTACGCAGAGAACGGGAGAGGGTTGGGTGGGTGGGGGGGGGGGGTCTTGAGCCCCCCCATCCAGTGTTTAAAGGCTCTGGTCAGGCACGTAATATAGATTTTGCCAGCAAGGAAAAAATTACAACTTTAAAAAAATTTTGTCAAGCAAGGACGAAAAAGGAAGATTGTCAAAATTCGAAGTCCTATTTCTTGTGTGTGTGTGTTTGTTGAAGGGGGGGGGGGGGGTCCATCTTTCACAAACCAAATTTTTATTAATACAATACCAAATTACCATGATTTAACAATGGTGCAACAAACAGTGGGGGTCCACCCTTTTAATGTATATTTTTCAATAGTAAAAGGTTAGGTTTTGGGAATAAGTAGTGGGGAGGCTCCCGATACAACGTGCCTGCTGGTGAGGCCCCAGAAGCTCCGGAGTTTTACCAAATATTTCATTCATTTTCTTGAAATATAAAAATTAATGCCATTTAATTTTTGTTTAGGAAATAAAAGACATAGTAATATTTATTGTTTTAATGAAAATTAATATTCCATGGAAACTTACTGTACATATAATTGAGGCTAAAACTTTAACTGATATATTAATTGGTATCATATAATCATTCTTAACGTTTGAAAACAGATATACAAAATTTTAATTATGAACAAAAAAATATCGTATTGTAAATCATACTAGTAGATCATAGCATCCAACAATGTGGCTGAAATTTAATTCTGCAAAGATCTTTAAAAAAAATATCAATGTATGATAGGAACAATGACAAAATAATGAATGATTTATTTGGATTTGTCAGTTATTAAATAAAAGATTTCAAATTTTATCATACAGCCATGATAATTTAAAATTTAAATCGACACAGTATGACACAAAATAATTTGAAACACAAATATTTGTTGGATGGTACTGAGATTTTTTTCTCCAAATAATTCTCTCTTTTTTCTTATCTTTTTTCCTCTTTTTTTCCTGAAAATGATGTGTACGCACTTGCGTATTTGCGTATAGGCAGCTACGCGCCTGTCATATAAATACAATCTGACAAGTCTTCACACAAGTAATGCTCATGTGAAAAAAATATGATAGCCCTGTCTCTTCTAGAGCAAAGTTAAAACTTTAAACAAGTAGGTCAAATTTCTAGGTCAAGATCTGTTCATGAAGTCAAAAATGATATTTGTTTTTTTTCCTGAAAGGTGCTGTCATAGGTAATTCACATGTAAATATCAGAGTCTTATCTTCTCTTATTCAAAAATTATTATCAATGTAAAAAATTTTGAAAAGTACTTTAGGTTAAACTTGAAGGTCAAGGTCTTGAGGTAAAAAACTATAGTATATTTTGAAAGGCATTGAAACAGGTAATTTACATGTCAAATATGAACACCCTATCTTCTCTCATTCAAAAGTTATCACCAATAACTCTCCAATAAATCACTAATGTTAATATTTATGATTCGAACAAAATTGAATGTACACTAACTAAGGATGCTTACATATTTTTTGACTGTGACTTTTTTCCCTACAAATATGAACTTTCATTGTGGCCCCACCCTACCCCCGGGGGTCATGATTTGAACAAGCCTGAATTAATACAACCTGAGGATGCTTTCACATAAATATGACCAATCATTGCTTTGCTGTTCTTGAGAAAAAGATTTTAAAAGAGTTTTCCTATATATTCTTGTATAAAACTTCGATCATCCATTGTGGCCCCACCCTACCCCTGGGGGTCATGATTTGAACAAACTTGAATCCACACCACCTGAGGATGCTTTCACATAAATATGACCAATCATTGCTTTGCTGTTCTTAAGAAGAAGATTTTTCCTATATATTCCTATGTAAAACTTTGACATCCATTGTGGCCCCAACCTACCCACGGGGGTCATGATTGGAAGATTAGCTTGAATCTACACCACCTGAGGATGCTTCCATATAAATATGACCAATCATAGATTTGCTGTTCTTGAGAAGAAGATTTTTTAAGATTTTTCCTATATATTCTTATATATATAAAATACATGGTTACTGTTTTGAAATATAAGCGATATTTGGGCAAGGGTAAGAAAACATGATAGAGGGCGAGGCTTGCCGAGCCCTCTATCACGTTTTCGACCTGAGCCCAAATATCACTTGTATTTCAAGACAGTATCGATGTATTTTGTTTATCCTGCAACATATTTTTACATGACCTTCAAAACGAGCTATTTTCAATCGATTTAGGTACATCTCTGCAGTTGAATCTAAGATGCCATGGCATAAACATTGCAATATTCATGACGTCACAATGCTTTTAGAACGTCAGAATACATCCACGAGGCTTTATTAGGGCATTGACCGAATAAAGCTTTGATTTATTAGGTTACCTTTATAAGGTCAATGCAAGGGGTAGTTGCAGGATAAAAAAATTTGATCATCCATTGTGGCCCCACCCTACCCCTGGGGGTCATGATTTGAACAAACTTGAATCTACACCACCTGAGGATGCTTTCACATAAATATGACCAATCATTGCTTTGCTGTTCTTGAGAAGAAGATTTTTTAAGATTTTTCCTATATATTCCTAAGTAAAACTTTGATCATCCATTGTGGCCCCACCCTACCCCTGGGGGGTCATGATTTGAACAAACTTGAATCTACACCACCTGAGGATGCTTTCACATAAATATGACCAATCATTGCTTTGCTGTTCTTGAGAAGAAGATTTTTAAAGATTTTTCCTATATATTCCTAAGTAAAACTTTGATCTTCCATTGTGGCTACACCCTACCCCTGGGGGTCAAGATTTGAACAAACTTGAATCTACACTATCTGACAATGATTCCATATGAGTATCATTTTTCCTGGCCCATTGGTTCTTGAGAAGAAAATTTTTCAATGATGCCATTTTTTTTTCGCTATTTTGTAATTATCTCCCCTTGGAGGAGGGTGTAGTCCTTCATTTGAACAAATTTGAATCCCCTTCACCCAAGGATACTCTGTGCCAAGTTTGGTTGAAATTGGTCCAGTAGTTTTGGGTGTTGCTAAAACGCGGAATGGAAAACGGAACGGAAAGCGGAACAGAACAGAAAACGGAAAATATAATACCAGTTTAAAGCCCTTGAAAATACAAATTATACCAAAAACGATATAAATTATATGTGTTGTTCATATTTAACCTTGATTATCAAGAATGAGTTGATCTCTTCATGTATACCGGTATTCTCATATGAAGTTTCCAGTACAAAAGCAAAGCATAGGGTACAGAAAACATAAAATATTTACACGTGGTATATATAAAACGTAGTGGTGAGATATGAGTGAATTAACTTTATAAAAGACCATTCTGATCAACATGAATAACCAGTATTCGATATTCATATGTGCGAACACAACATAATTTTCGATGCACAGGCACCTAAAGCACGAATAACCATGATATCGTACAACTCTGCATCCCCCACCCACCCCCATCCCCCGTATTTGGCTAAATTGTAAAACTGGAAAACAACACTGACCGATTGCACAGAATAACATTAAAATTGCTATGATGGAGAAATCACACATTTTCCAGAA